ATTTGTGTTATATATATATATATATATATATATATATATATATATATATATATATATATATATATAAACACAAATTTATATAATTTTATGTAAATTTTACACTAAAACCCTTTTCTTTTATCTTCTACAACACTCTAAAAAAAATTCTATATTTTAATATTAGAAATTCGAATATAAAAAGTAAAAGCAAATTAAAATAAATTTATTTTAATGAAAATGTGTTTTTTTGTGATGAATAGTACACCATCAAATATGGAGGCCACTATTCTATGATACAAAAAGTGATGAATTTATTGATTGACTAGAGTGGATATTATTTTTGTACACAAAAATAGAGGTTGGTTAGAGAAATCCTAAGCAAACCTTAGTGCTTTTGGTGACCAAAATGAAGTACCTTCTCATATGGCCAATAGTCCGAGCATAAGTGTAACACCCAAAGTTTCGAAGACCAAGAAAGGAAAGAAAACCCTAAGTTTAGGGGTCGACTCGGCGAGTCTAAGGAGGGACTCGGCGAGTCCGAGAGGGATCCGGGTCGGGGAGTAAGTGACCGACTCGGCGAGTCGACCAGGGTGACTCGGCGAGTCTGGTCTGTGCGTGGAAAACCCTAAATTCGGGACTTGGGGCCTATATAAATGTCTTAATCTTCTTCCCAGGGTTCCTTACTGCCTCTTTAGCCCTGGATATCAAACCCTAGCCGTCATATCTCCTAGTTGAGCCTTGGAAGGTGCTTTAAAGCTTGGAAAAGGAAGAAGGAACTTGGAGGAGCAAGAAGGAGCTATAGATCTGGGATTGTGAGTTCATTTTGAGCACTTGGAGGTAATAAACTAGTTCCTGGACCCTTTTTGCACCTAGATCTATGTGTGGTTGTTGGGGCTCTTTTGCCATAATGTTATTATTTTGGGTTAGAAGCTGGATCTGGAGTTGCTACTTCAGATTCAAGTGTTTTAGGGCCTGGAGAAGCATAAAGTATTAGTCATTGTGTTGATTTTGGAGTCCCTTGGCCTTACACCCTAGTTAATGGCGTATCTTGCTTAGATCTCCTTCTCTACACGTAAAGTTTGCAACTTTACGTAAGGAATAGACCTTAAAAGAGTGGATCTACAGTTTGGAGTCCATGCATGACTCAAAGGTCCTCTGCATGTATGTAGAACCGAATGGACTCGGCGAGTCCTTTGAGTGGACTCGGCGAGTAGCTTGAAGATGAGGAGGAACTCGACGAGTAGGATGAACAACTCGTCGAGTCGGATGAAGTTAGGCATGGACTCGGCGAGTTGGATGAGCAACTCGGCGAGTTGGTTGAAGATTGTCTAGGACTCAGCGAGTCTGTTCTTGGACTCGGCGAGTCAGATCACGAAAACCCTGAACCCTTCGAGTCGAGACCCGAATCAGTGAGTCGGGTGGTGACTTAGCGAGTTGGACAGGACAGGACTTGGAATTGGTTGGACTCGGCGAGTCATGGACTGACTCGGAGAGTCGGGTCGCGAATAAGAAAGACCCTGAGTTTATGAACTCGGCGAGTCTTTAGGAAGACTCGGCGAGTAGGGTTGACCTGGAAGGTTGACTGTGACCAGAGTTGACTTAGTTGACTGTCAGACTAAGTGTTATATGTATATTGATAGCTCGGAGAGCTAGAGGAGCAGCGGATCAGGGGATTGTCGAGTAGCCGCCAGAGATTTATCAGTAGGGTTCAGCAGTCTCAGGTGAGTTTCCTTCCAGTAGGGACGGGTCTAAGGCCACAATGCCGGCCCACCCAGTTAGCAGTAGTTTCCGGACTTCGGCCCGATGCAGTAGTTAGTATGTTTGATGCCTTCGTGGCTCAGACAGGATTTATGTGCTATGTTTTATGTGTTATGTGTTATGTGTTCCGGGCTACGGCCCGATGTAGTATGCAGTATATGTGTTCATGCTAGTTGATATGTTATGCTATGTTATGTTCAGTCAGTTAGCCCGGACTTCGGTCCGATGCAGGGGACAAGGTCCCAGTCAGTCTCCGGACTTCGGTCCGATGCAGGGGGCAAGGCCCCAGTTAGCCCGGACTTCGGTCCGATGCAGGGGACAAGGTCCCAGTCAGTCTCCGGACTTCGGTCCGATGCAGGGGGAAAGGCCCCAGTTAGCCCGAACTTCGGTCCGATGCAGGGGACAAGGTCCCAGTCAGTCTCCGGACTTCGGTTCGATGCAGGGGGCAAGGCCCCAGTTAGCCCGGACTTCGGTCCGATGCAGGGGACAAGGTCCCAGTCAGTCTCCGGACTTCGGTCCGATGCAGGGGGCAAGGCCCTAGTTAGTCCGGACTTCGGTCCGATGCAGGGGACAAGGTCCCAGTCAGTTTCCGGACTTCGGTCCGATGTAGGGGGCAAGGCCCCAGTTAGTCCGGACATTGGTCCGATGCAGTGGGCAAGGCCCAGTATGTGCTTTATATGTTTTTGTATGGTATGTGTTAGATTGGAGGAGCTCACTAAGCTTCGTGCTTACGGTTTTCAGTTTTGGTTTCAGGTACCCAGTTTTCAAAAGAGGAGCTCGGGGAGATTGCAGTGCACACACCGTAGTCAGTTAGCCTGGGAATGTTCGACTCTGATAATGATATTATGTTTTGAATTAATACTCGAGAATTTATGTTATGACTTATGATACAGTTTTACAAATATGATTCTAGTAATGCTTTTAAAGAAAATTTTGGTCGTGATTTTTGGGTCGTTACAATAAGTTAATTAACAAGGAACATATCTCCATAAAGCAACCCATTGCAAGGTAATATCATTGACACTCGAACTCTAGTTATTTTTGTGGCATTTTTGCCAAGTTTGTTGACCTTTGATTAATCTCATTTAGATAAAAGCATTTCACTAATACGATTGCTTGAGAGCAAATAAATCAACATTTGTTTGATATTTGGAAAACTGACTTGTGTTTTTTGGATAAGGAATTCATTGGTGTGGATATGAGTTTAGCATTTTGATATAATTAAATTGTCGAGTAAGACGATTTTGATTGACCCTTTTGTCTTCAAATATTTCGGTTTTTGGATTGGCTTGGACCAAAAATGAATTATTATTTTAGATTTCAATTTGTTTTAGGCACTACTATAACTAAACCGAATAGTCTAAGAAAAAAAATAAATAACAAATTATATATATATATATATATATATATATATATATATATATATATATATATATATATATATATATATATATATATATATATATATCAAATGAGAACACCTAAAATGTTGAGAACGTAAGAACAAATCTGGTACATTAAATATTTAAAATCTAAGGTTGTCATTAATCATTGATTTAAACATAATATTAAATGAATTTAAATTGCTTTTGAATTAAAAAAATATAAAAGGGTATTCAAGTAATTTTATGATGTCATCCATTTTGTATATATCAGGTAAGTTTGACAATTAAAAGAAACCGTTCCTATGTTTTAGTAATCACAGCTAACTTCTTATCTTTGGGAGGATTCAATCATACGTGCAACGCAAAATATTGCCACAGCTAAACATTTATACGACACTCGATTACTACTGTTCATCCGTAAAGAGATTTGTGCATTCAGAAGTGTATAAAGGGTTGAAGGTGGAGGAATGTCATCGATCATCAACCGAAGTGGGGGAAGTAAGCTTTCTAATCTTTTTTGAATGTTAATTGAGTGGAAAACGGGTGTAGTATTGGGTTTAGTTTTTCTTAAGGTGTACATTTTAACGATTCTTAAAACCCTAGAATTAGGTTTTTTCGTTTTTTCTTTATATCATCTATTATGAACTGTAGTGACTCTAAATCGTTGATGATTGTTGATTTAAAGTTCGTATTTTACAAATAAAACGTTGGTGTATGTGAATGTTTAAACGAAAATGGTAATTGTAGATGAGTTTCGATGTTACGCTAGTCTGATATGGAATGTATTTAAGATTAATCGTTTATGATTGTGATTGAAAGTTTTAAAATGCAGATACATGTGTAGTCGTAGTCGAATACTTTGAACTGAAGTACGATTACGAAAACCCAAAAAAATAGGTTTTTTTTTTTTTTTTTATACTTTTTTTAGAGTCGAATTGTTGGATGGAAAAGTAAGTAGATTATCAACAGGATAAGAGGAGTAATTGATATTAGTATTCGATTTTGAATGGTGTTTAATAGCAAAATAATAAGGAAAGGTATAAATGTCTTCACTATTGATTATTTGTAAAATCTGATTGTTTGTGCTACAGAAATACTTTTCTAGTATTAATCCTTATTGTTGGTTGTATATTATGTAGATTGTTAAAGGCATATTAGGTTGTGAATGGGTAATTTATTGAGTATGTATGTGGTTTTGATCATGTACATGATATAGTAAGTAATGAATAATGGTGTAGGAGTCCCTACTGGTTTTTGTGACTAACTTAATTACATTGTTTGTTAAGTGATGATTATTGTAGACATTACTCTGTTCTTGGGTAATTGTTTGATTGAGTTTGTGTTTAGTAGGAATAATTTATGATTATTTTAGTTGTTAATGATTCAATTATGAGTTATGAATGAGTAAGGTATTTTAATTCTAGTATTAGGTAGAAAGAAAAGAGAGAGGATATTACTAAAGACTGCATTCAGCAAATTCACAAATGAAGAATCCAATCCATTGCTTATTGATATTGAAGATGAAGACAATCAAGGAAACGAAACAGTATAACCTCGGATTAGAAGAGAAGGACAAATGAAATGTTCAACACTTAAGAAGAAAACTAAAAAACAAACTGGTGGTAATGATGATTAAATGAAAATTATAATGTTAAATATCAATTGGAATCTATATTGATTATGTGTCTTATTTTTTGGACAGGTGCGGAGGAATGTATTAATCGCACACCAGATAATTCAATGCAAATGGATCTTAAAGTTGTAGTTTTGAGCTCAGATTTAAGTAATATATTTGTTTAAAATTAAATTTATTTAGAGTTTGTTTTTGTAGTTAGTTTTAATAACTTGTATTGTTTGTATTTATTAATAGAAAAGAATATGAAACCCAAAGTCAATGTGAAGAAGGTTGTTGCAGGAAAAGCAAGGGTTTCAAAATCTAAAAAAAAAAAGATACAGAAACAAAAAGGTATCAATGATGATTTCATGTAATGTAAGTTGTATATCAAAGTATCTTCAGTTATGATTATGTTGTCTACATATTGGCAGGTTTGATTGAAAGTGTTGACATGATAGAAGATAATGGAATACATAGGGAAAATGAATTGAGAACAAAAGGACGGTTTGATAGATGTAAAATAAAAGGTGAAGTTGTTGTTTTAAACTAATGTTCAGGTAATGATTTATTTTTAATTAAATTTAGTATAGTATTATTTTTGTAATTTAGTTATAATAATTTATTGTGTTAAATATGTCTTAACAGGAAAACATAATGTTATTGTCAAGAAGCGTAATGAAGATGAAGATTCTGACTTTGAAGATGCTAAACCTGTGCTTACAAGGAAAAAGAGAATGCATTATACTTCCTTCAAAAATGATGACAAAGAAAATGTGAAGAAATTTAAAAGACAAAAGAATAAAGAAGTAAATGTAGTGAAAGCAAGGAAAATGCCTAAAGTTGTAGGAAATGATGAAGAAGAAGCAAGGCGAATACAAGTACGGACATCTCCAAATATTTTGTACAGTTGTATGCATAACCTTAGCAAGGAACAGGAAGCGTATATTTCTTCTATTGGTATGGGGCATTTGTTGAATATGAAAGTGGATGGGTGTGCATCAATTATGGGGCATTATACTATAAGGAATTTTGATGCAGATAGGATGGTACTCAACCTTCATCATGGAGAGATACCAATTAATCGACAGGTTATTCACGAAATGTTGGGTCTTCCTCTGGGAAATGTTACAATAAAGTTCATGGCTTATAGAGAAGTCACAGAAGACACGATAATTGTTTGGAAGAAACAATTTGATGATGATGATAATATTAGACCAAGGGTAGTTCAACAAGTTATTATGCAAACAACACGTGCATATTTACTCTTTAAAGTAAACATCTTTGTCCTACTGTGTAATACACTAGGTCAGTCGATGAGCATGGGAACATGTGACATGTACATGTTATCAAAAGTCACGAAGGACCTGGATCTAAGTGACATTAATTGGTGTGGATATGTTTTTGATTGCCTTAAGGAGACAAAAAGTGCATGGACTCCAAACAACAAAAAAGGATTCTATGTTGGGCCTATTATATTACTGCTGGTAAGAGTTGTTTTAAATTCAACTGTCATTCAATATTGGTTGACTTATGTGTGCAGATTCATTAAAGTGTATTTAATTAATACAATATTTATTTGTCTTTGTTGTAGGTACTATACGTAGAAAGTGCTCGATACGATTCAGTGAAGATTGTACGAGGCAAACCAGCAATATGTTTTTGGAATGTTGATAAACTGTGTGAGCGAGAAAGAGTAGAGTGTAGGACAATAGGTCTGAGTATGGGTGAATTGCAAGAACCATTTCAAGTCATCAATGAAGCATCGGGAACTAGTAATGTAGGGCAAGAAAAAGTTCAGGTAATATTTTATTATATTGAATAATGCATATGAAATTTAAAATTTGTTATTTTGTATAATCTAAATTAATTATATTCATACATGTTGATAGGGAAATGATGCAGGAGGTGTGAAAATTAGTGATAGAAGGTGTAAGGTATTAATATACTATAATCATTAATAAATAATAAGGTATTAGTACAAAAACTAATAGTGTATTAATTTTCGTAGGGAAATCAAGGAGAGAAAATTTTTAGTTGAAGTGGGGAAAGTGTTGAGGTACTTTACTACTTATTCACATTTGAATTATGAGTTACTATAGTATTAATTAATACTAAATGACATATTAATGTTTTTATTTGGTTTGTAACATAATTATATTGTGGTGACCTTATTAGACAACTATTTCAACAATAAAGGAGATGCACGACATGCAAGTGCAGCAAAAGAAAGTGTTGGAAGAAAAAATAAATAATGCTATCAAGAAATATCCTGAGAATCAGTTGATCAAAGAATGGAAAAACAAAGTAAATGATTTGTTTAATGAAGTTTCCGCATCAGAGGAACCAGAACAATCCCAATGGTGGTATGATAATGCGGCTGAAATTGAACGTATGCTGATTCTAGCAACATCTCACAAACAGTTTGACAACTCCCCGATAATAAACTATAGTATTCAGATGTCACAGGAATATGCAGACTTCGTGAATAGATCTGGAAGAAAATATTTTCAGACTACACCACCATCTAAAATGAAAATGCCAATACCTCTGTCTGTAGTACCATTCAACAATGATGAAAAGGGGTTCGATAGAAGAGGGTACAGGCCTCGCATGAAATCCGAATATCTGAAATCTCCTTACATTATACGGGTTGTTGATATCATCAAAAGAGTTCCACGATAAGAAAAACATGTAGCATAATGGATATTCTCTCTCCAGGGAGAGAGAAAGTAAGTTGCATTTAAAATATGTTTAAAATTACTTAATTTTGTTTGTTGCTTATTAAAATTAGTATTAATTTGTCACGTCTTTTGCAGTGATATAGTTTTCAACACTTTGGATGGTTTTTCTGCTGAGAGGTTTCACATGGAAAGTTTTTTTTTCCAACATGTGAACTATTTGGTCATGTGATTGATTGTTGGAGTCAAGTGTTGAATCTTGATAAAAGTAAGCGTGCACCTGAATCACCTCTAAGAGTTTATTGCAAGACAGATATGATGGTATAATTTAATATTGTTCAATGTTGATTATACTATTTTTTGAATACAACTTATAAATAAGCTAATGAATTTTTAAAAACGGATTACAGAATTCATATCTTGAAAGTGATTTAACAGAAAGTCAACGTAAAGATAAATTCATTGAGAATCTGGTGCTTTCTATTGAAGATATGGACGCAAGCCTACGTTACGTTAGATTGGTAAGAGATATATATATATGAACAGTTTACTTATGTGTTTATTTATATTGATCAAATATGAATCTTAAATAAAGTGAATACATGTAAATGAATAAACATTGCAGCTCTTCCTACCAGTCATCCGTTCCTTCTACATTTTCCTTTTTGTGATCAATCTACAACACCCATATTTTGTAATCATTGACAACAACAAAGTTGATGATCATATTGATGAGAGATATGGTCAGTTGCCCCAAATCATTGTAATTGATTAATAAAAGTTACATTACATAGTTAATAAAATTTCATATGTGTTGACAATCTTTTTTACATTTTCAGAAAGAGTACATAGTTGATTACTTAAAATCTCAGAATCATCCAAAAGATGAGATGTTTTCACATGTGATGCCACATAGACTGGAAATGCCTTAGAGAACAATAAACAACCACATCGATTGTGGTGTGTTTATGATGCGTCACATGGAAACGTATATGGGTGGAAGTATGAATGAGTTTAAAGTTGTGTTCAAGAACGAGTCTTCTACACAAGATGATCAACTTGTTAAACTGAGGACAAAGTATTTATACAAAATCATCACTCATGAATATAATGTGCAAAAAGATTATGTGCTCCAAAAGGTTGATGAATTCCACAAGATTCCTTCAAGACAACGTTCTCAATTGTTGGCCATTGCAAAGGAACAAATTCACACAAGACTAGATGATTTTAGTTAATTATGTTAAAAATGTTATTTTAGTTATGACTTCGATGGTTTCTTTTGGATAGTTTTAAAACAATGGTTTTGTATGCTAAGGATATTAACTTGGGTTGCAGAATGTACAATAGTTCCTTTTGGTTTGCTAATTTTAGTAATGGAATGGTGATATTTTAATAGCTATAATTTTACATTAACTTTTGAAAAATTAAATTATGTCAAAAAATGATGATTAACATGACTGGTATAATTTTAATGTATATTCAACAATGATTCTTACTAACAAACATTGGTTAATATGCTATACTACTATGACCATACGATCGGAACTTTTAATAATTTAAATGAATATATCTATAGTCTATTATGATTGTTGTTGTTTTTATATCTTAAAGTATGTTGTTATTCAATATTGAATAATAGCATAAATACATGAATTATTCATAACATATTATACTTTAAATGCAAATTGCTTTAACTTAAAAGAAGAGTATTTCACAATTTTCATATCATGAATATGTTGAAAGTAATTGATGTATTTATGATATTATTCATTATTGACTATAACAAAGGGTTTAAAGTCTACTATGGTTAAACTTATGACTAAAATATACCCAAAAGCAAACATAAATCAATATATGATGTATAGGTGTTTTAAAAGTTAATCGTACAAACATTTGTTATTATGATATACTACTAACAGCATACAATAAACTATGAATACTGCTTGAATTGTATATGACTATAGTCTATAATGATTGATGTTTTTATAATTTCAACAAAGGAAAAATATATTTATTCTAAGTGCAAACTGTTTTAATCAAATAACAGAGGTTTGAATGGCTGTTAATATCATTAATCTGTTAGGGTTACCAGATTTGTTTATGCTATTATTCATTGTTGAATAAAACAAAACGTTAAAAATAATGAAGGTGTTCTAAGATAAAATAACATACTAAATCATTGAAATATATTCTTATTCATAAATCTAATAGAAAAGTAAAATTTATTGGGAAAACGAATGAGCCATTTTAAGGTTGTTTTGACTCTCGTGCAAGTCTGACTTTGCAAGTCCTCCAATTATGGTTAACATATTGATTACAACCTGTGCAAATTCTGGTTTTTTTCTTTGCAGCTACAACAGCTTTCTCAACAACACTAACCATTCTTTTCTTAGTTCCACTACCTTTGGTATGTATAGATGAAGGTGGGTGGATATTTATTTCATCAGGAATGTTGCGTATTCCAAGCATCCGAATAATTTCTTCTTCATAATTATCAGATGATGTTTGGTTTGAACTGCCAAACTCCATTGCTGCCTGCTTCAAGTTACATGTTTTTTCAACAAATTCACAATTTCTCCTTGCTTATTTTGAAATGATCCAAGCAGTATTCAATATTGATGTATGCCTCTGTTAGAAGTTTAAAGGTGTCATCTTGTATTTCCATGGCTACATGTTTCATGGCAAGCAAATGGCTGGAAATTGCATCCCTTCTCCATCTTCTGATAATATACTGCTCTGGAATCTCTTCAACATGGTTGTTTTTCAATACAGCAAAAATATGACGACACAAAATGCCAGTACGTATGAAGTGATTGCATGAACATTTAACTTCTTTTTCAGGCAACTTTAGTTCAACCTACATTGTATAATAAAAATAATGTATGTTAGTAACTGACTGAATTAAAATATTAGTTAGTGGTTATTGCATAATACTGAAACAAGTATATGTAATTTAAAAATAATGATATAATATACTTGTATGCTCACTAATGAATAGCTTTTAAACGATGAATATAACCTTGCATTTTAACTTCAACTATTTGCTCTTATCCGTTTGTGTAATCATAACAAGTTGCCACCCATCAATCATTTCGACAATGTCAATAGAACAGTACTAGGTTGCTTTAAATATTTCCTTTTTGACCTCATAGAAAACGGTTTTAGTGTAAACCGCAACTGCATGTTCTAGTAATCCACTTGGAAGCGTCATTTCATGCTTTGCATTTTTTGTATCATGTTCTAGTTTCTATTGACCATTTCATTGCTTTCCAATTGCGGTGTCGTAGTTCATCATGAAATAGATAAGCAAATCACCAGAGTTAGAGTATTTATTAAAAAATGAGTTGACGCTTTCAGACCTTGAACTAGTTTTCATCAGACCGTGTAGTGGCATGTCTTTAAAATAGGCTGGAATCCAAAGCTTTCGATCCCTATACATGTCTTTCAGCCCTCTTTTGTCCTGTAGTTTGAATTTTCTCATAAGCAGTTTCTACCTTGATTCAAAGACTTCAGGTTCAATGTAGAAATTCCAAACAAGCTTAGTAAAACACTTTCGAAAATCAGTGTTTTTCAAAAATCGGCTGAAACCTAAAAAAAACTTTAGAATTTTATAAGATTATCTATGAATAAACAATATCTATACTGATCATTTTTAAAAATACGTAAACTGTGTAAATCATTGTTGAATGAAACATGTTGCATGTTAACTTTAACCAAAATATACACACCTTAGCTTGTACTTTTTTCATAATGTGCCACATACATAAACGGTGATTAGAACTAGGAAATATTGCTTCAACGGCCTGTAGAATTGTTGGATCTTGGTCTGTTAACACTAATTGAGGGTGTTTTCCATGTGCTTTCAAAAAAGCTTCGAGCAACCAACGATAAGATTCTATTGACTCGTTGCTTAACAAACCTGCTCCAATGTTTATTGAACGTTTGTGGTTATCAATGGCTGTAAACGACACAAAAATCATTCCATACTTGTATTAAAAAGGTAATTAAAAACAAATTGAACATTGATTATAAACTCAAAAAACATCAATATTCATATTTAAAGAAAAAAATAGATAACTATAAGAGCATACTTATTTGTTCGGAATGTAGTATCAAATGAGATCACATCTCCAAACTCCTTGTAATATAACTTATCGGTTTCATCCGCCCAAAAAATTGCGTTTAACACACTATCAACACATTTATACTCAAATGTGTAGTTAGGTAACTCATCTTTCCTCATGTTCATTTTGTCAACAACCAGCTGTGCATCCTTGTCACCTATAATATCTCCCATCTTCCTTCTAGATTGCTTCAGGGCCAACGTTTTCATAACCTCCTTGCAAACTAGCTTGTAACTTATGTGCCTTTGTTGCACCAATGTTAGATGTTGAAGAACGCACTATAAACTCCTTGTCTTTATAACTAAGTCGTCGTGCACATTTGGAATACCATCTTTCTTCTTTAGTTTCTAGGGGGTGGTTGTGCTTCTCTTCAAACTCGTATATTTTACAAGCATTAGTTCGCATATATAAACTTTAAAACTTTATCAATTCCTTGCAGTCCGTGATTCTGAAGTTTGAGTTTCGTTTATTCCTTCCAGTTTCCTCAGGATCCAAAGTGTCAGTTGATATGTTAGGTATTTTACCCATTTTGTTGCACACTACATACCCTTTTTTAATGGTTTTGTCACCAAACCTCATTACTGTATTTAACCTGACACCAAAATCTACTCTATCTACATATAATCTATACATTTCAACCACCTCCTCTAATGATTGATAAGTAGCACCTTTTTTAGGAACAATAGGTTTCCACAACTTGGTTTTCCCACCCGGCGAGTCAACAATATTGCTATTGAATGATTCCTCTTCAGAATCAGTTTGATTTGTACCTGTTTTTTTAGACAACAAAAAACAATAATGCGACATGAGAGACATGATATAAATTTAGATCGATTACGTATTCATAAACAAAACAATTTTCTAATCATAATCAACGTGTGTGAAATAGTAATCAAAGTTGAAGTGTTTACTCATTTTAAAATACACATAACTATGTCAAAAGATTTAAATCATTATCATATATAATTGTATTAACTCATAATCACCAATGCTTATCAAACTTAAGAAATATTGTATTAAACTTACGAAACAATGTACAACGATTTGTGATATACACCAGCATTAACTAATTAATACATAAAACATATATGATTAATCGTATACAAATATGTACTGAATAAATAACACGTCTTATTCATCATATACATAAATTCAATACGGACTGTAATACACGAACTGTATTTAAAAGACGTTGATATTGTTACCTTCACTCGCATAATCAGATAATTGAATTCTTCCGATGTATTGATCATCCGAATGATAGAAATCGTCTTCATCATATTGATTATTGTCAAATGCTTCGTCGCCATATTGATCATCATGTTCGATATCATCGCTACTGTAATCAAAATAGTCCGATATCGATATTTTTGGTTAACAAATTTCTACGTTGTTATCTTTAACCATAAACGATGTTACAGATACATAATGTCGATTGACTAAATCACGAATCGTATACTGGAAATCGTATCTTCAATTCAACAATAACTATGGAATATCTCTTAATTATAGGTAAATAATAATGGAAAATATATTGATTATTAATTGTATTATATTAATTAAAAATTATTTTAAATACAAATTTACTTAATACCCTAATAGAATGATTGGCTGATAAGTGTTTACGCGTTCTCAACTTTTTAGGTGTTATATATATATATATATATAATATATATATATATATATATATATATATATATATATATATATATATATATATATATATATATATATATATATATATATATATATATATATATATATATATATATAGGGAAGAGTTATATGGAAAATGAATGATTAGGGCAACACATATTTGAACCAATGAAAACATGACAACACATCACTTCCACATTACATTACTTGTGAAGAAAGAAATGGACACGTATCATTTGATTATTGGTTCCGGTAGATGTGCCCTAGTTATTTGTTTTCCATATAACTCGTTCCTATATATATATATATATATATATATATATATATATATATATATATATATATATATATATATATATATATATATATATATATATATATATATATTGTATCGTTTAACTATTTTGTAATATGTGGGTGTTTTCTATATTAAATTAGAACACATGACTCAATTAAAAAGGCTATATTAATTTGTAAGAGTTGTTTTTTAATTATTTGATTTAAACTAGACATCTCAAACTTGTTAATATCAAAATAATGTGTTTTTTGAATGCCTCAACACTTGAAAAGGCGAATTATGAAAACCGACCAACCGCATATTAATTTGGTTGATTCGGTCACAAGTTTGCTTCCATCATAACTGAAAGTTTATGATACCCAAAAAAAAAAAAAATCATAACGAGCTTTTATGCAGATCTATATGGACAAACTACCGATCCAGAATATAATTATTAGACGGGCTTTCGATTATTAAGAAGAGGAAACCCATAGTAGCATATTGTCAAGATATTCTTTCTGCAGTCCCTACACAAAATTCCTTTAAAGCACAACTCTCGTTAAAGATATAATTTACTGCGCTATATTGTAAAAGACTAAAACGGGTTGATGTATTTGGTGTTTTATAATTATCAAATTATAGCATGGTTGTCTTAATGATACAAATTGGTGCATAGTCAACATGATCGATCATATTAATTGGTTATTAGTACAATAATTATATATGTTGCATCTTTGATGAAATCTTGTTTCTCGGAATTTTTTTTTTTTTTTTTTTTTTTTGTTGTTGTTTTTTTTCATTCTAGAATCCTTGATTCTGATAAAATTGGGTGGGTAAACAAGATGAGTGCTTTTGCGTGAAAGTTAAAGGGTGGGTGAAAATTGAAATGTTCTGCTGTAGTTACCCTAAATGGCCACAACATGTTCTATATCTTCCATTCATGTTTCTCCTATTTCTTTTGTCTGTTTCAGAATTGTCTTTTCTTTCTCCTTATCAATATATTTTTTATTCTTTTCTTTGCATGAATGACTGTAAATTAGCAAATGAGAGTACATGGGATTGTACACACAGATTTGGCTTTTCATAAGAATAAAATGGAACTCTTGTACGAGTTATAAAAATGAGGTAGCTATAAGGATTTGCTTGCTTGTGGCATAATAAAAAGAAAAGGGTTTTTATTGGTTAAAACTTTGATTTGAAATGCATTCTTTTTACGATCTAGAATTTGTAGGTACACCAAATATAACTTAAGATTTATATTCAACCAATACATTTTGTTTTAGAATTGGTTCGATGCATAATGATATAATTGGTTCTAAATCGTAAAAGAAAAACAATAACGTAAATTTCCAATGCCAAAGAAAAATATGATCAAAATACACACGAAAAATAAAATTATATAATAAGATATTATTAATATTTAGTTATACTTTTTTTTAATATATTAAATTAAAATATAAATTTAATAAAATGATGAGTGTATTGTGAAACAATATTGATGGATCAAAAAGATTTCAAAGAATATTATGAAGAATAATGCCTACAGCCTATTTGTGTCCGATTGTATTTATATAAGACCCATTTTGATTTAGTTGGAACAATTGGTAAGTTTCGTGTATTGGAACTTATAATTAATGCCGTCTCACTATTGTTACATATTGATGAAACAAGATAAAGAAAATAAATGAACTATCTTTCTTTCTTTTACTTGACAGCATTAGGTATGGGCCTCTTGAGTGGTGCTATAACAACTTATAACACCAAGGGAGAAATAATGTTCATGGTGTTATGATCATGTTATGAGGAGGCTAAGAGGAGAAAATTAGAGAGAGAAGAAATGTGTAGCCAATCAATGTTCTCGTTTCAATATGTCATAACGCCAACAAGATATGCTATAACACCAAGAGGGAAATGGTGTTTATGGTGTTATGACCATGTTATGAGATGCCACATCAGCAAAAATCCGAAACAATAAAGAACTTATTGGATGCCTTTTTCTTATTCTAGCAAAAGATTGTCTCTGCTTTCTTTCTTTTTTTCTTGGGTAGTAGTGGTACTATGTATACACAAATATGAAAGATCAGAAGTTTCCTAATAAGCTACCATTACTTGTCTGCAACTTTAGAGCACGAGTTCTTGCATGCCTTCCTATCACAAATCAAGCCTTAGTATGATCGAGACTTGTTAAAAAGTTATCATCAGTACCTTTTTTTTATAATTGATGGTGACTTTAAAGCTCAAGTTCATTTAAAATTTTAACTAAAGATAGTGGTGCCCGAACTGTTTTTTTTTTTTTTTTTTTTTTTTTTTTTTTTTTTTCTCTCCAAACCGGATTAGTTTTGGTCAACAAAAGTCAAAACCTAATAGGTTTAGAGCATAAGTTTCCAAACCTATAAGAACCAGATTGAAAAAACCTAATCTTTCATATGTTACGAAACTTGCTTTCGGTGATAAAATTTAACTAAACTTTAATTAATAGTTCATAAAAAACGGGCTGATATATAAGTAATACTGATAGCTATGCCAATGAGGTAAGGTATTTTCCAAACACTCTCAAAATGTCATTTTTCAACTTTCAATGTTTATAGAAAGTATTTGCTCATGCATCCAAGATAATATAAGAGGTGATAAACGGTATTAGAAAACCTGTAAAACCTTGTCTAAACAACAAACGAAAGAAATAATGAAGGAAATTAAACAAAGTTTTTTTACTATATGAAAATCGGTTTTATAGGTTTGAAACCGAGTTTTACCCAAATAGTTTCATCTGTAAAATCTTCAAACTAGTATAATTGTCGGATTGGTTTCAACCACACTGGTTCCTTCATCCATTTCCGGATCTGTTTGAAAACCGATTTTGGATCGTAAACTGGTTGTTTTGTGCACATCTAACTAAATGTGTGTTTGGTACAAATAAAATATGATTGAATTAGAGAATGGATACAAAGACAAAGACAAATTTTATAATTAAAAAAAAAAAAAAAGGAAGCTTGTTTTACTGTTTAGTAAAACAAATAATGTAACAGTAAATGAAATGAACTCTTTTAGGATTTTATCCTTTGCAGACAATATATCTTTTTTACGTAATACCATTATGGTTTGCATATTATTTAATTATTATACTACTATATATTTATATTTATATTTTTCATGTTCCAAATAGTTTTGATCGGTTATTGTTCTTGCAAGTTGTAGTATTTTTTTGTATCCTTACAAAAATTAAGATTAATCTACAGAAAAACCGAATATAATGATTAAAAATCATATTAATGTGAAACCAACATTATTTTGTTTTTAAAAAAATAATTTATCCATTTTTCACTAGCAACAAAAATAATCTTTTACACTTTGTGGTTTAGTCATTTATGTTAATTGGGAAAATAATACAAATGTCTTATAAAGTTTTTAGGGTTGATAAATCCTGTTCCTAAAGTTGTTGTTGGGCTTTATGGGGTATAAAGTATGATACTACCTATTTTTTTTTAGTTTTTTTCAACTTATAATTGCCAGTACCATACGATAGCGACCGATTAGACAAAAAAAATCACATTATGCTCTTATGAAGCCAAAAAAAAAATAAGTTTGGGGATCAAATGTTTATGCCACAAGATCGAAGTGATTTTGTAGAAGAAGAAACTTGATAATGAAAGATGATGATCCGAAGCTAATATATAATTTTAACTATAATTACTTAGTTGGTCACAAATAAGAACCAAGAAAATCCACTGCTTATAAAATGTGGTTCTGAATCTTTACACTTAGGAATCCCTACCTGCCTAAAGAATGCGAGGAAACTCACTGCCAGTATCATCGAGAAAACTCAGTTTACAAACAGAAACATGTAACCTTAGCTAGGTCCCCAACAACTCAGTTTACATAATATATGTTTTATTAACAGTGATACGAAGAGATAGATGTATCTAATTCCAATATAAGATGAGCATTAATCGTTATAATGTTATGCATAATATATGTAAGTGATAATCTCATATTTCACATAAGCGCTCATTCAAATGTCATTATCAAGTTTCTTCTTCTCCCAAATCACTTCGATATTGTGGCATACACATTTGATCCCTGAACTTATTTTTTTGGTTTTATAGAGGAATAAGGTGAGTTTTTTTGGCCTAAATGGTCATTGTCGCATTATGAACCGGCTAAGCTATTATAATTTAAAAGGGACTAAAAAAACGGGTCGTATCATACTTTATACCCTTATAAAACCCGATAAAAATTTTAGGGACTGAATCGACCAACCCTATAAACTTTGTAAGGCATTTGGGTTGTTTCCCTATTTTAATTGATAATATGATGTCAAGTAGGGCTGTCAAAAATGTACTATGGAAACCAACCAAAATGTTACCAACCGAATCAAGAAAGTTGGTAGTCAATGTATTTAGTAGTCAACATGTTTGGTTGGAAGTATCATACTAAATAAACAATCTTGGTACGGTAATCATATAAATGTTTGAATACCGTTGTAATATGGTACCAACCAATTCAAATTATATATATATATATATATATATATATATATATATATATATATATATATATATATATATATATATATATATATAGATAGATACACACACACATATAGTTATTTGGTCACATTAGTCAATAATTATTACCACTTTAAAACATAAAATTAAAAATGTTACTTTAGCATTACATCAATAGAATTTTTTTTGTAAATTAAAAGAACTACATAACTAATTTCTTTACTAAATGTCACAATTACTCGATGTATTTGCTTATTTTAAAAAACTTACACTAGTTGATTACAAGAGTCGGTATATGATTATCAATTTGTACTAAGCAAATTTGTTGGTAGCTAAATATATTGGTACCATGTATACTTTGTTGGGTACCGTTAGATTTTTTTTTATACCAATTATAATTGATAAGATACATAGTTTAAGAAAAAACGAATTGATACCGTACCAATTCCACTCC